GCGATGAGGCCCCGGGTGGTGGCACGGTACACGGTCTCCTGCGGGGGGGAGAGAGGCCCTGGGGTGCATCCTGCTGCCCCCCATCCCCACCCACTGCCCCAGGCGCCCCAGCCTGCCTCCCCTGGCCCCGCATCCCCCCTGTGCCCCGAGGGACCCACCTGGGTGGCCGTGGAATCGAAAGCCACGTCGAAGACATAGGATTTCTCCCGGGAGTGACCGGCACGCAGGACATCATCGGGGTCTTCCATGGGGTCTTGCAGCACCACGACCTGCCAGGGAACGCGAGGGGGGTTGGCCAGGGGGCACACACCGGCCCCGGGCACCCACCACCCCTCTGCTCTGGGGTCACCTCCAGCCTCCCGTGGAGGTACAGCACATGCTGGGCATTGCACCGCCATTAACGGTGCTAATTAGCACCCGGTTGGGCCCCGAGGTGTAATGAGGTGCTGAGAGCTCCATGGGCTCGTGGCATTGTGAGCACAGATCCCCCAGGACGTGCACAGACAGATGGATGCACCGGGATGCTCTCCCCAATCCTGACAATGGAGTGTCCTTGCAATACGGCTCCCTCGGGAGCACCGGGATGGCCCGTGTCTGCCGAGCAGCTCCATCCCAGCCAGTGGGCGAGGGACCCCGTGGGAGAGCACATCACCCCACCGGTGATTGGGTTCCCGGAGCCCCGGGGGGATCCAAGCGGGACTTGGGTTTCAGAGCCCAGGCATCAGCACCCCTGGCGCTTGGTAATGCAGTCGCTCGCCCCTGCCAGCCCCAGGAGGTGTTGGGGACCGAGCACCCTGCCCAGGCATCGCCTGCGTGTTCCGTGGGGGGAATGGCTTGCTCAGAGCTGTATCTTCCCCCCATGCTCCTGCCTGGGTACCCCACATTGCCCACAGCAAAGACAGTAGCACCAGAGCCTGGCATGGGGGGGGGCACCAGGATGTGCTCCCCAGTGGGTCTGAGCCATCGTGGGACCCCGTGGGCATCCTTCCCCTGCTTTGCCAGGGCCAGCGTCCTCTCCGTGCCGGGGTGCAGGAGGTGCCCGGGCTGGTGCCGGTGCTGGCGGCGCGGGGCCCTTTGTGCTCCTGAATTGTCCCATTGTCTCCAGGCCGGGCTGGGGCTCAAAGCCAGCTCTGTGCGCGGTGCCAGGGGACCTGCCGGGCCGGCCGCCCCGCTGCACCCACCTGGGCACGGCGATACAAAGACACCTCTGTGAACATGGCCCGCCAAGGTGCCCACTGTCCGGGTACCGCGAGGTGTTTGGGGATGCCGGCACCCCACAGGGACCCTGCATGTCCCTGTCCCTGCGTGGAATGGCCCCTCACAGGGTGCCCTGCTCCCAGTGTCCCTGCCGGCTCCCATTGCAATGCAGATTTTGACCTTTCCCGTAATGCAAACTGCTCCCTCGCTGCTGCCCTACTTCCACCTCCGACCCCCCTTGCACGGCCCCCCCCTCCACCCAGGATTGGGGACAGGGACAGGCAGCCCTGGGGTCCCACGGCACTGCAGGAAGGGGTGTTCCTGACCCAGACCCCCAGACTTTCCCACCCTACTGCTTTCTTATTGTAGGGTCTCCTGCAGGGGCCGCGAGGCTGCAGGGTGCCCTCCCAGCCTGTGCCTGGCACACGTGGGCATCGCACACAGCGCTGGCTGCTGCCAGGGACATCCCAGGGCGTGCACCCTGCCGAGGGTTGCATCCTGCCCCAGGGTACCTGGCCCTGTTGACTCCATGGGATGGGCACGGGGCGAAGCACCAGGGCCAGGCGGTGCCTGACGAACCCGCGGGTGCCCATCCCGCGGCCGTACCTGCTCGTCCATGCGGTGGGCGATGGGCCTGGCCCCCTCTGCCAGCTCAGCCGTGCTCATCGGACGGATGCGAAGAGCCACCTGCAAGACATGGGGGGTGAGCGCGGGGCGGCGAGGATGGGGACAAGGGGATGGGGACACGGACCTGCACGCGAGCCATCGCAGCGGGGTCCGGCAGACGGGACTTTGGCAGTGCGGTGTCGACGCAGCCCCCGGGACCCCCCCATGCCGGGCGCTGCAATTAGAGGTTCATTTTCCTGGGACGAAAGCGAACACCGCTGGGACCGGCCTTAAAGGGGCAGCCGGGCAGCGTGCCCTCCTGCTGGCACCCAGCCCCTCGCTGACGTGGCTCGGGATTCATGAGCCTACGGTGGCACAGCAGGAGTGGGGGGACCATGGGGGGAGGCTGATGCCATGCCTCTGTGCCCCCCCAAACCCCCCAGGGTGCCCCAATGGCATCCGCCGAACCAGCCCTGCGGTGCCAAGGTGCAGCAGGGACGATGGCTCCGTGGGGTGGCAGGACAGGCAAGCCACGCCAGCCACCCTGTCCCCCTCACGTCCCCCCCTTCCTGCTGCATCCCAGCCCTGTGGGGTGCAGCCGTGGGGTGCCCTGGATCCAGGTGTCCCCACTGCCCTCGGCAATGCTGCCACTCCCCTCGAGAACAGTGTGCCACTGGCCAGGACTCAGTGCCAGCTGCTGGTCGTCGCTGTCCCCTGGAGCCTTCATGTCCTCGCTAGGGCACAGGGGCCAGGGGAGCCTGTGAGCAGAGGTGCCCCGTGTGGGGGTGCGTGGGGTGCGCTGATCCCCGCTCTGTCCCCTCGCTGCAGCCCTGTCCCTAAGTGCCCCCACTGCCCATGGGAGGGCTCAGTGGGGCACCTCCAGCCCAGCCTGGTTCTCTCCCCTTCCTTCCTCGGGCACTGGCACAGCCCCTCTGCCCTCCTCGAGGCGAGGGGGCTGTAGGCCTGGCCCCATGGGTGCCCCCCCGGCCCGGGCTGGGACGTGCTCTGGAGGCTGCATCTCCCCATCCCACTCATCTGCCCCAGTCCCCTGGAGATGTTGAGCCGTACACAACACCGGCAGCGCGGCCAGCTCCTGTTGACACAGCAGCCGGTGGCATGAGTGGCTCTGGCCACGCTCCGCGCCCTCTCCCAGCTGCACCCGTTACCCTGCGGCATGGTCAGGGTGCCGTGAGCCGGGTGGAGACGCGCCTGTCCCACACGGGGCACAGCCGGTGCACGGCTCGGGGAAATGCCTTTCCACCTCTGGGTGCTGGTACAATTAGGGCTGGCCCTTAACGAGGCGCTTGGCCGAGCTGCAAGGCTGGTGCCCCGCTCCCTTCGCACAGCCGGGGAAGAACCTGCCCCTTGGGCAGCGCTTCCCAGCCCGGGAGCCAGCTGTGCTGTACCCCCCTCCCCCCCCCCCCCCCCGTCCATGCTGCCAGGACAGGACCCGCACCCGGCCGCTCCGCCGTGCACCCACCCCACACAGGCAGGATGGTTTCAACAGCTCCTGCCCACCCTTCACCCCCCAAGCAGAGCCTGGGGAAGGGTTCTGCCGGGAGGGCTCACCCCTGGCCCCGGAACACGGGATGCCACCTGCACGCTGGCCCCATCCCTCTGCCGACAGCTGTGCCGTGGGGCGAGCGCAACCAGCGGCTCGTTAATAATTGACGGGCGGGA